CATGGTTAGGGAGGCAACCAGGGCAGGCCAGGCTCCCTATAGCCCGTGCACCCATGACAGCCGCCCAAGCCTCCACTTACCTGCAACTGGGGCAGAACCAGCAGCAGGAGCTGCAGATCCTGGGGCAGCGGAGACGGCCACAGCCCCGCCAGCGGGAACGCTGGCCAGCTTGCCAATACCTAAAAGCCAGGGAAGGGAGGTTAGACCAAGACAGCCGCTCAGCCTAAAGGCTACTTCAGAGGAGTGGAGACAGCCTGCCCAGTGAATGTACTGGGGCCTGTCACCAAGTGCCAGTGAAACTGGCTCCCCTACTCTCCCAGGCAAGGAGCTCTGCCACACCCCTCCCCCCAAACTTCCTATCTGGGAACTTGGCTTCCAGGAATTAGTCTACAAGAAGCTAGGCCTGGCGTCAAGTTGGACAAACATGTTTATAACCAGGCAGGGACCTAGTCTGCTGCCCCAGTGTCCAGATACTTGTTCCCAGCAGTGCACTCAGATGAGGCTTTTTGCTGAGCTGGCTCTGTCCCTGGCAAGTCACATGTCCAGGTACAGGAACAGTTGCCCCAACAGCTCAACTTCCAAACAAGTCCCATCATCCCCAGCCTGATGTCACAGGAAAACAATCCACCAGGCAAAAGGGAGCGGGGGCCTGTGGTCACCACTGACAACAACCCCATTACAGACAGCATGTGGAGAAACTTGTTTACAAAGGCCCAGTTTCCCAAACACTGGACAGGGCAGCCAGGCCCAGGGAGAGCATGGGCGCCCCCTAGCGCCTGTCCCTCAGAGTGTCTAGAAGTGCTCCTGGTTTGAGCTCATTGAAGCTCTGCTCACTCCATCGGGCAAGGCTTCTAGGGTGCTCTGGTCCACAAGCGAACCCTGGCAGGCCACAGGCTGACCAACAGGGATTAGGATGGACCGCGGAAATGAAAGCCCCCTGCAGTCTCACCCTGGGCGATGACATCTTCGATGTTCTTTCCGTTCAGCTCACTGATGACCTAGAGTAGAAACCAAAACGAGCAGTTACCAGAGACCCTACCTGAACCTTCTGCAGCCAGGGCAGGGCTAGGCCTTGGGAGCAGGACAGGAGGAAACACCCAGGCCCTGAGGTCCAGCACACTACTTATTGCCCACACGTGGGATATCTGAACTGAGACTCGCTACAAATGGGCACTTAAACATTCCTAAAAATTACTGCTGACACAGAGATGCAAAAGATCTAAGTGTATATACCCAACACGGCTCAAAATAACACGGTGAGTAATTTGGGTGAAAAAATGGCTTTAAAACACTTTCCCCTTGCCCAGCTGGCGTGGCTCAGTGGTTGAGCATCGCCCTGTGATCCAGGAGATCCCGGCTGGATTCCCGTCGGGGCACATGCCCAGGTTGTGGGCTCCATCCCCAGTAGGGGGCGTGCAGGAGGCGGCTATCAGCGACCCTCATCATTGAGGTTTGTATCTTTGTCTCTCCCTTTCTGAGACCAATAAAGATTTTAAAGACAACGACAACCAAAAAAACCACTTTCCCCATTTCATTTCTTATAATAAGGACGTCACTAAAGAATTTTAAGTTACACGAGGCTCGCATTTTGCTTTTTCTAAACCATGCTGGTCCGGGCTTTGCCTCACCCCGGCTTTTGCTTCCTCGGGCTGTATCAGAAGCCCCCCAAAAGGGAAAGGACTCCCCCCCAAACCACACTCTCCCGAAGAAAACGCGGGTCGGGTAGGAGAGGGGCCCCTCTGTGCAGAGCATCGCGTGGGCCGGGCCGGCTACCTTGTTGAGCCGGTCGTCGTCCGCCTCGATGCCCACGCTGTCCAGGATCTTCTTGATGTCCTTGGCGCTGGGGGAGGCATTGCCCCCGAGGGCGGCCAGCAGGTAGGAGGCGACGTAGCGCATCCTGAGCAGCGTGAAGGGAACCGTGGCGTCAGCCGGAGGCCTC